CCCCCCCCCCGGGCCCCCCCCCCCGCCTCGCCCCGCCCGCGGGGGAAGCCCGAAGACGCTTCCGGCACCGCCCCTTCCCGGCAGGGCCCCGCCCCGTTCCCGCCCGCAGCTCCAGCCCGCCCCGCGGGGCCCGGACGGGGGCGGGGGCCGGCGCGGGTCGGCGGGGCGGAGGGGGGGGAGGGGGGGGCCGGAGTGGGGGCGGGGAGCGGGGGCCCCGAGGGGAAGGGGGGCGATCTGCAGATGGGGCGGGGCCCCGGGGGAAAGGGGAGGGGACCCGGAGGCAGGGCAGGGGCCCAGAGGGGAAGGGAAGGGGGGGGTCTGGTGGGGGCGCGGGGCCCGGATGGGGGCAGGGCGGAGGCCTGGAGGAGGGCAGAGGGACCAGAGCGGGGCGAGGGACCCTGAATTTCTCTCTGCACGACGGGGTCTCCTGGGAGCCTGAGGTGCCCAGAGGTTGGGCGCCGTCTGGAGGGTTCCCGCTCCCCACCACGGCGGGGCTGCTGGGCCCCGCGGCCTCCCCGCCCCGGGACAGGGCAGGAGGGAGAATGGGGAGGTGGCTGAGTGGCTGCTCTGTGGTCCTCAGGGCTGCGGGGGGCTGCCCTGGACCCCGCCATGAGCGCCCTGGGCCTGCAGAGTTGAGTGGCAGACCAGGTTGGATAACCTTTCCCGGCCCTTCCTCCATCTATTTCAGTGCAGCCCCCCCAAGACATCACCACCCCCCACCCCCAGACCCTTCCCCGCTGCAGGTGGTGGCCCTGGCCCTGGCCCTGGCCAGCTGTTTGGTGGTGAGAGGTGGGGGTTGCCAGGCCGACAGGAGAGGAACCCGCGCTAGCTGCCCAGGCCCAGCGTGATGACGTCACCTGGAAACTTGGGTCCTGAAAAGGAGCCCACTCGGTCTGGGAGGAGGGGTTTCTGGAAGGCTAGGGGTCCCACAGTCCACACCGGCTCACCAGCACAAACCCGGCGGCTGCCCCTCACTGGTGTGGAGCCAGCCAGCCAGCCTGGCGTCTGGGATGATCCCAGCCACAATGGAGGCTTTGAGGGGCCCCTGGACTGGGAGGGGGACACGTGTCCCGAATGGCAGCCTGTCCCTGAAGAGACTGGAGGCTGATCCCACCCAACTCCAAGCAGAGGCTTCTTCCGCCATCGCCCCCTGTAGGACTGAAGCCTCTGCCCTACGCCTGCCCTGGGCTCCAGTGCCCCTCCCCATATCCCTGACCTGCTCCCACCCCAGGGAAGATGAATTTGGTGACCAGTAGAGCAAAGAGAATGACCACACCGGGTGTCACCCCCCCCCCCCGGCCCCCGCATCCCCCCGCGCCCGGCTCGCAGCGGGGGCCCCCCCCCCCCCCCCCCCCCCAGGCCTGCCTGTCTCCAGGGCCCTGACACCCACAGCCCGAGTGAGGCCAGCAGTGCCGCAGGGGTCAGAGGGCAGACCCGGTGGGGTCTGGGAAGGCGGTGGGGGTGGGAGCATGTATGAGCTGCGAGCAGTGCCTGGGGAGGGGTCCTCAGGAGTCCATCCTCGTCCGGGACCCGGGCAGGTCGCGAGGGGCTGGGGAGAGGATGACCCACAGAGGGTGGCCCTGGGCTGAGAGGGGTGGTGGGGTGTGGGGAGGGGCAGTCTTTGGTTGGGGGCTGCTGGGGGTGGTCCCTGCCCTTCTGCCAAGAGCCCACACAGAGAGTGGGCAGGAGGAGTGGGGCTGGGGACCGTGGGTGGGTGCAGTTGGGGATGGGGATGAGGGAGGCCAGGCAGGTGCTGCGGCACAGGAGGGGCAGGCGTGGGTGGGAGGTGGTCTGCACACGGGCGCCGGCAGGAGGCGCAGCGTCAGGCCGGTGCCGGGATTTGTGGCCGGCCACTGGGGAGTGGGAAGGAAGGGCCTGTCCTTGGCTGTTGGGGCCTCACCTTGGCCCCTGTGGGCATGACCATGGCCATGCTCTTCCCCAGCGAACAGTCCCTCCGTTGGGGATCCAAGGCTGGCCCCCGAGTCACAGTGCAGACACTTCCCAGGGGATCAGCTGAGGACCGACTGCCCTTCTGGGAACAAGTGCAGGCGGACAGAGCCAGGGCAGTCCAGGACGGTCACCGCAGGGACAGGAGGACCCGGCTCGTTCTGCACAGTCGGAACACCAGTGGTCACAACTGTCACCGTGGTGTGGGAGGGGGCCGCACTCGCTGGGCAGAGTCCGGTGGTCGAGAGTATGGGTTAATGGTGTTGTCCCCTGTCACTCTGGGAAAGGGTCACATGTCGTGGGGGGCCTGGGGGGACCCAGTGGTCAGAGGATCTGGCTCCCATGAGGGTGGAACCCAGCCTGGCAGGTGTGCTGTGCTCCCGTGAAGGCGCTGGCTGCAGGGAATGGCGCACAGGGGGTGATCCCCAAACCCCCCCGTCCTTGGGCCTATACAAGTGGCCCGTGCCTTTATAGGAAGACTTCCTTGAAGAAAACAGGAATATCACACCCCCAGGACCTGTTTGTGTCCCTCTCGGAGCTAAGTAGTGACATAACCTGTTGGGGACATGGTGGCCCAGTGCAGGGCAGAGGGGATTCGGGTCTCAGGACCCAGGACCTCATCCCGGGCAGGTTAAGGGGAGCTCATTGACTGTGGGGGCTTTCCTGAGGTCTGGGACTCGGACCCAGAAGGTGGTGAGGTCACGGCGCCGTGAAGACGGTTAGAAGCGTGAGAGGTGCTTTTGAAAAGGGCAGACCGTCACGAGGGCCACAGCGGATGTTGGGAAGGGGCCGGGCGGCAGGGGGTGGGCTCCTCAGGTGGCCTGGAGGATACACCGTGCAGCCCAGCCGTCAGGAGCACACTCGGAGAGGCACCGGCTCTGTGGGGAGGTCAGTGGCGGCTCCCGGCAGGGTCTGCTAACGGGGAGCGGCTGTCGCAGAATGGACAGTGACAGGGATGATGGCGCCCGGCCACCAGGGGCTAGGTGGACGCAGGTGGAGCTGGGCCGGGGCCTGAGGGGCCGAGGTTGTGGTGAACACAGTGTTCTTGGAGACTGGACAGGCGTCCAAAGAGAAGAGATCGAGGGTGCCCGGCCAGGAGGTCCCAGTGAAAGGTTCTTTGCCCAGTTTCCAGGCTTACGGCAGATTTCAGACCCAGAACCCAGAGAATAAAAGGGGGCCGGGTCCTCGGGAAGCAGACTTCGCAACATCAGGTAAGTCTGCGCCCCGGGGAGGGTGCCAGGCCTTCCCGTGACCCCGTAACTGAACACAGGGGAGGGGACACGCCCGAGCATTTGAGGGCTGTGGACACGAGGTTCCAGCTGACGCCAGTAACCTGAGGCCCGAAGCGTCGCCGTGGCTCCCCTGTTAGGGTCAGGGGCTCAAATGTGATTGTGGCCGGGGTCTGGTCCCTGCCTTTGTCTACACGGGCACCTGATGGCCGTTTCCCCACGCCCAGAATGGACAGGTGGAGTGGACATACTTGGTGGCCAGCCTCGTTCCCTTGGCCACCGTGAGGGACAAGCCCCACGGAAGCGTCCACAACTGCCCCCGACCCAGATAGTCAGAAACAGCAGGACTTCGCGGGCAGTGACGCGGTTAAAGACTGCCGGGTGCAGGCTGGTGCTGCCACATGTCTACACCCGCCAGTCTGACCGCGGCCAGAGGCCGGTGGTGGCGGCTCCGGGAGGACAGCTGGAAACACTGGGCCGCACCGCCCTCCGTCCCGATGAGGAAGGGAATCCAAAACCGTTTTCGGAGAGACCGTGTGGTCCCCCCGCCACCGTGACTCTCCTGCCCAGGGTCCCCGGCCCAGCACACCTGTCCCCCGGATCGACAACCCTGTGAATCAGCACAGCGAGGTCTTCGCAGGACACGCGCTCTCCGGGGAGAGGTCAGGGGCCTGAGGCGCACGGGGCCCCCTCGGGCAGAGGACGGGGAGCGCAGACCTGGGGGCTTCGGGGTGCCGGAGCGGTGTGCACCCCTGAATTGTGCTCCAGTGCCAGTGCCGCGGAAGGCCAGCGCTGCGCGGGGCCCGCTGCGTTGAGCTAAGGGGCTCCAGGGCGGCTGGTGTCTCCGGCAGAAGGGGCCTGGCTCCGGGCCTAAGTGGCCCGCCTGGCACGGGACCGCGGCGGGCTAGTCGGCGCTGGCTTTCTCAGACCTGCCCTGTCAAGAGGTCGGGCACGTGGGGTGAGACGTGGCAAGGCCACAGGTCAGTGGCACGCTGCAGGCACGGGTGGTCCGGACCTGCGTGGGCTCCACCCGTGTGACGCCCGTGGGCGGCCCCTGCCCCTTCGTCAGTCCCACCGCTCCCACGTGCGGCCTCCCAGGAACTCCTGTGACCAGCGGGGGAGGAGGAGAAGCTCCGTCACGGTCCAGGGACGGCTGGCACCGTATGTGGGCACAAGTGGACGATGACAGTGGCGGAGGGGGCCCGTGGGCAAGCGGCCCAGCTGGCCAGTCAGAGGCGTGGAGGAGTAAAACGGTGCTCTCAGGCGCGGGGGTCTGGGGAGACGCACACAGGGCACTGTGGGGCGGGCACGAGGGTGAGCACTTTAAATCCCGCGTCCACACCTGCCGGAACATACCCACCGTGCGGCAGGTGGACAGAGCCCCTTGGCCACGTGACAGCGGCCAGCCTGTCATCAGCTTGGGTGGCAAGCCGTTGTCATCGGGCGGCACGGCCGCGTACAGACAGAACGGCCAGGACAGTGGAGGTGATGGCTCCTCACGTGTCTGTCCTGCGGCTGAGCCCGGCACAGCTACCCCTAGTCGGCGTCACGGGGACGGAGGCCCCGGGCCTGAGGTCAGCATCCCCCCAGCGAGGCGGGCAGTGGGGCAGGGGCGTTCTCCGTGGGGGCATCCTGGGCACTGAGGGGTGCTGCCCCCCCATCTTGAGCCAGTAGCACCCCCTCACCCAGTTGTGACCGATGTCCCCGGGATCCCCAGTGGAGAACACCGGCTTACCAAACGTTTGTCCCTGTGGTGCAGGACCCCACGGAATGACACAGCAGACCGGGGGACCTGGGGCAGGGTGGGCTGTGACCACGGGGCTCTCACACACCACACTTCTGGAAGCTCCTGGCCTGACAGGGTACATACAGGCCACGCCCTGCGGGGCTGGAAGCCACGCCAGGACCTGCATGCGGTGCTGTGTCCCCAGAGGAGGACACCTGTCCTCCAAGCCCCTCGTGCCCGGGGCCAGCAGGGGAGGCGGGCTGCCTGATGGTGGTCCTGAAGCCGGAGGAGGTGTCCCAGAGGCAAAGGGTGGGCTGGGTCGCTGTCCTGCAGGCCCCTCCGCAGGGGGCGTCCAGGGTGGGAAGAGGGAGCAGAGGGTCATCGGGTTTGGGCTCCCTGCCGGGCGCTGAGGCCACAGCGCGGGGTCACGGTGGCCGTGTCCTGCTTGGCTTCCTTTCTCCCTGTTTCTTCCACAGGTTTGATCTCCGTCGGCGTAGGGGACTGGGGGGGTACCGCTCACAGAGTGTCCTGCCCTGGGACCTCAGCCCTCCTCAGGGTCACCCACCTCCGGCCCAGGCCCAGGCTCCAGTCGCAGCAGGGGAGCCCCGGGGTGGTCCTGCAGCGCCACCTGCTGGCCGTGTTCCCACCAGCCGAGCCCGGCGGTGACTCCTCCTGAGGGAGGGGTCCCCGCTGTCCATTCCCTAGCCTTTCCGGTGGCCGACCTGGGGCCGGAGGGGGGTCCGCAGGGCCTCGGCAGGGGTCGCCACCAGGGATGGGGGGGTTCCACAGTCACCCGGAGACCCGGCTGGGACCCTGACGTTCAGGCTCGCAGCCCCTGCGTCCCTGCACCTTGGCACCTGGCTCCTGCCTGCACCTGAGCCCCACGCTGGGCCTGGCAAGGTGCTGCTGGGGTCAAGTCCGCCCTGCCCGCCCACGCCTCGCCCCAGTCCACCCCCTACACACACCAGGGGCTGCGTGGGGCCCTCCGCCTCCATCTCCAGGTCCCTTGTCTGGGGACGTGCTCCTGTTCACAGGCAAGGAGACTGAGGCTGGGGTGCTTCACCAGTGGCTCCAGACCTCAGCCTCAGAGCAGACGACCCCCCCCCCTCCCCCGGCCAGGGAAGGGAAGTGACTTGGGGAAGAGGCCACTCTGAGGGGTGACAGCCGAGCAGAGAGGAGCCAGACCCAGTGTCCCCAGCAGGACGAAGGCCCTGACCTGGACCCCGCTCGGCGATTCCAGGAGCCAGGTCAGCCTGGCGCTTCCAGTCTCCCCCTGGGAGAGAGGCAGCGAAGGGGCTGGGGGCCCTGAGCGGGACGAGAGGGGGGATCAATGGGGCACACACCCCGGGCCTGTGGCCACAGCTGCTGTCGGCACGGAGATGCCTATGCTGGCCCTATCCCTCCCCAGCGGCCCGGGCCGAGTGCCATGGTGGGGGTCCAGGGCGCGGCCTCGGTGGGGCAAAGGGCAGGGTTCAGACCCCACAGAGGACCCCACAGACGTCGGGGGGCCAACGTGGGGAGCCAGCTGCAGGGATGTCTTAGCATCCACAACGGCAGGGCCTGGCCCTTCCCACTGCCAGGAGACAGCCCCTCAGACACCTATCAAGGTCACCTGTGCAGTGGCGGGGAGGGGGCGCCACTGTCCACAGTGCCCTGGGAGGGGTGGGCTGCTGCCCAGGTGACCCACCAGGCGGACTCAGGACCCTCTGGCTTCCAACTGGAAACTGGGGTCGATTCCATGCCAGCCACGTGGCCTGTGGCTTTGGTTACTCGGGCCTGGCCTGGGTCCCACATGCCCACCTGCTCTGGCCTGGCCCTCTGCTGGGGCTCGAGCTGTGGAGGGAGCCCCTCACCCAGCGGGGGCCTCCCTTCTGGGCCTCCCCATCCTTGCCCCCACCCGTGCGGGGCTCCGCCAGCCCCTGGCTCTCAGGTTTGCCCTCCATCCCACCACGAAGCCCCCAGCCCACAGGGTTCCCTGGAAGCCGCCCAAGTACAGGGCTGCGTCTTCCCTTCCCAGTTCATGTGGCCATCAGCTGTCTGGTGGTGACCTCTCCCACCACCGTGCTCCCACTGCCTGGACCTCCAGCCCGGTCCCCAGAGCGTGATGACAGGGCTGTCTCCCGTGTGAACTCCCCAGCAGGTCTGGCCTGGACAAGAGCCGCAGGCTGGCCTTGCCCGGCCAACTCGGCCCCGTCTTCTAGGACTTCAGGGGCGCTTGGCCCGGGAGGGAATGCTCCCTGTCCCCCAGCACAGACATGGCAACAGGGCAAGGGAGGCCAGCCGAGGGGCACGGGGATCCGGGGAGAACCAGGGACAAGACTTGGGGCAGGGGTGTCCCCTGCGGCCACTGGGGTGCCCACCTTGGGCCCGCAGAGCAGGTACCACAAGATGTCGCGAGGATGCCGAGGTCCTCGGTGCCGGGACAGCGGGAGACAGGAGGCCGCCTCCCAGGGTGACCCCCCGTGTGGACGGCAGTGGGGCGGGGGTAACAGCAGTGGGGCAGGCAGGGTGCTCGGGGAACCGGGCGTTCACGTGGGTGGGGGGTTCCTGGGGCGGCCGCGCCGACTGGTGCGGGGGAGGGGGCCCTGGGAGGCCTCCCCATGGAGCCACAGCCTGTTATCATTCTCAGCTGCTTCATTCAAGGAGGAGAAACTGGCCCTGGGGCTTGTGATGGACGCTTCTCTCCGGCTGTACCCTGCCCGAGGGCCCGTCGGTGGCACAGCTGTCCCGATCCCGTTGTGCTGAAAGCCCAAGGCAGGCTGCCTCCGGGCGGGCAGGGCTGTGTCCTCTCCGTGCGGGGCGGTCAGGGGCGCCTTCCAGCCCCAGCGGGGGCGGGGGACAGCGATGGCGGACGGAGCTCACTCCGTCCTAAGTCGTTGGTGCTTTTCAGTGAGACAAACTCACACGTGTTCTGTGCCTGACTACCTCCAATGGTCAATTTTATTATAAAGAACGGTAGCAAAATATACAAATCTGCTCAAGAACAAGCAGGAGCTGTGGTTTCCCAGATGCCAGATGGGCACAAGTGTTTGAGGGGGAGCAGCTCGCCCTGGACCGTCCGAGGAGGAGCGCGGGTGTGGGGGCCGCCTTCCCCGGGCGTCAGTCTCAATAACTTAAAGGGCAGGTCCGGCTTCCGGCTCCGGAGCCACGTCACAGATCTTCCCGCGCGGGCGGTTGCGTTGGCTCTTCTGGAACTTCTGCCAGGAAACAAACAGATCAGTTGGTGAAATCCCCACACGAGGGCCCCGAGGCCGAGGCCGCCAGGTTTTCACGGGGCTGGGGCGGAGCGCGGGCACAGATGTCCCGACGGGGTGGCGCTGGCTCCTCCCGGACGCGGCGGCCCGCTGGCCCCACAGCAGGGGTGGGGGGGGCGGCCAGGCGCTCCGGAATCAGCTGGGCGGGACGGGGGCCCGGATGATGGGGAGGGGCGTGGGCAGGGAGGCCACGCCGAGGCAGAGGCAGAGGCGGCGTGTGGCCGCTGTCCCGTCCTCTGCTGTGTCCTTGCTCCCTTTGGCGTCTGGTGCGCTCCTGTCCTGGGTGCCCGGGGTGTCCTACGAGGCTGTGTGCTCGCTGGGCTTTACCCCGCTCGGGGCCGGGGGCTCCTGGATTCTGCGGCACAACCTACTCGTTGGGGAAGACGCCGTCCCTTCCACTCCGTGCTGTCGCAGCACTTCTAGGAGCCTCGTGGGAAGAGCCACATCCCCCGGGAGCCGTGGTGACCTCCTAACCCCAGGAGCTGTCAACTGGGCCTAGTGTGCAAATGGGCTCTTCACAGACGATCAAGGTAAGGTGAGGTCACTGGGGCGGGTTCTTCTCCAGTCACCGGTGTCCATACGGGGAGAGGGAAGCGTGGACACGCACAGGCCACGGGAAGGCCACGTGCACAGGGGCAGAGACTGGAGGGATGGGGCCGTAAGCCCCGGGGATCCAAGACGCACAGCCACCGGAAGCCGGAGGAGGCCAGGGTCCCTGCCCACAGGCTCAGAGCGGGTCCTGGCCTCAGGCCTCCGGGAAGCTGGCGCACGGACCACGTGGGGACCGTCCGGTGGCTCCTCTGCCGTCAGCCCGCCTGCTGATTCCGGTGTCACTGACTCTGCTTCCCTCCCACACCTCAGTCTGTGCGTGACCTCTGGGACTCCCCACGGGGACCGTCACCCTCTTGTCTTCCAGGAAGCCCAGCCATCACCCTCCCGGGGCCACTTTTTGTGTGTTTCCGAGCCGGCAGCTGTGGCCCGGTGGCCGGTGTCCCTGCCCGGGCTCCGCAGCCAGGCCACTCACCGTCCGCGGCGGTCTGCGTCCGCACACAGGCTGTTTCCGTCTCCTCGAAGCCCTCGGGACACACGCACACGTAGCTCCCAGGGGTGTTGTAACAGTTCTCGCTTTCTCTCGTGCACACTTTTTCCGCCAGCGAGCACTCGTCTATGTCTGCGGTAAAGACATCCCACTGTAACCGCTGTAACGGATTCCGCTGTTCGGCAGACACACGTCGTGATCACGAGATTCTCATAACTCGCTCGCGCACAGAGAGCCGAAGATCGGAAACATCTCGTTGGAGAAGAGAGGAAGAGGGCGGACTTTAACAGAGGCGTCGGGGGTCAGGCCACGCGCGGCCGGAAAGCAGAGAAGCACGGCGCAGGCGAGGAGGCGGGAGGCCCGGCGTAAGCTCGCCCAGCGAGGTTGGTGGATTCGCTGCCCTTTTCCAAGTGGGTTCCAGCCGGCCCCAACTGTGGAGGGGACCACGGGGGCCGGGTCACCCCTGGCTGACGGGGAAACGGGGGTGGGGTGCGGGAGCCCCAGACCACAGGATCACCAGCACCACGCACATGGTGGGGGGGGGGGGGGGGAGGCGTATGCTGCTCCCGTGTCACACGCTCTTGAAGCTGGAGGAACGGGGTCTGTGGAGAAGAGCCAGAGCCGGTGCCCCCCGCCCCCCAGCTCGTCACGGGACCGGTCACATCGTGGCCTCCCTGCAGCGCTCCATCCCAGTCCAGCACAGACACAACCGCACTGACCTGCACACTGGCCGCTCTCCTTGGTGTAGCCCAGGACGCACTCTTTACACTGTTCTGGACCCTTCCCCGTGCAGCCCACACAGGTAGAATCACATTCTAGAAACAAGGGGGAAAGGCAATGACAACATCTGACACCGTCCTGTGGGCACACGGGGTCTGGAGCCACGCCACGTGGGAACCCGGGTGCTCCGGCCTCTCCCACCCCACCCCCACCCCCAAGCACGGGCTTCAGGCGGCAGGGCGGAGACTCCGTGACCGTGCACGGGAAGCCCACGGACAGGCACCCTCTTGTTGGAGCCGGTATCGGGGGTGGCCGCCTTCCTCATGACGGGCGGCTGGGAGCTCAGTACGAATAACCTTCCCAGGTGATGCCCACGCGTCACAGAGAGGGGCACACGCGGCACGTGGGGAGGCCCCCAGCCTCCCGGGGACGGCGTGGCCCTACAACGCACACCCCGAGAGCAGTTTGGAACCAGTGCGAGAAAACAGTGACCAACACGAAAAGCTTTATCTACCAAGGAATTCAAAGTGCGTAACTGGGGGACAACTGGTCTGACTTAAACAGCCAGCGATACAGATTGTTGAAGAAACTGGCGGAGTCAGGACGTGCTCTGCAATCGCACACACACGTGTATGTGACGTACACGACGTGACAGGACGGACGAAGACGGTCACGGCCTTGTTGAGTGAAAAAGGCAAGGAGACACTGGGGAGCGTATTAGGACTAGTAACAGAAGCTCCCTCTCCGTGGAATTGATGGCTTTTAAATATTACTTTCAACAAATACCTATCACTTGGGTTGCCACCTTAAACTTTTTTTTTTTTTGAGAGAGAGAGAGAGAGAGAGAGCGCGCGCGCGGGAGCCTGTGCAGAGGGACGTGCATGTGGGGGAGGGGCAGAGAGAGAGGGAGAACAAATCCCAAGCAGGCTCCACACTTGGTGCAGAGCCCGATGCGGGGCTCAGTCTCACCACCCTGAGATCATAACCTGAGCCGAAATCAAGAGTTGGACACTTAACCGACTGAGCCACCCAGGCACCCATCACCTTCAACTTTCTAAAGTAGGTAGAGAGGTGCCTGGGTGGCTCAGTCGGTTGAGTGTCTGACTTCGGCTCAGGTCGTGATCTCACAGTTCGTGGGTTCGAGCTCCATGTCGGGCTCTGTGCGGACAGCTCAGAGCCTGGAGCCTGCTGCAGATTCTGTGTCGTCTTCTCTCTGCCCCTCCCCTACTCGTGCTCTTTCTCTCTCAAAAATAAATAAACATTAAAAAGAACTTAAAGGGGCGCCTGGGTGGCGCAGTCGGTTAAGCGTCCGACTTCAGCCAGGTCACGATCTCACGGTCCGTGAGTTCGAGCCCCGCGTCAGGCTCTGGGCTGATGGCTCGGAGCCTGGAGCCTGTTTCCGATTCTGTGTCTCCCTCTCTCTGCCCCTCCCCCGTTCATGCTCTGTCTCTGTCTGTCCCATAAATAAATAAAAACGTTGAAAAAAAATTAAAAAAAAAAAAAAAAAATAA